AGTTTAGACTGTGGCTCATATATACATATAACACGTGCTTGCCTTATTGTGGAGCTGAGATTTACTTCACAGCAACTTACTAAAGGATTGCCAGGATCATCTCGAGGTCCGTTTGAGGTACCATATACTATAATTATACATGGAATATGGAACCATGATATTGGTAATTATCCCTCAATCCTAAACCCTAAACCCTACCAATATTGGTAATTATTTAGGCCCCTATATTATTCTAGGGCTGAAACTCCGAACCCGGCTCTACATACCTTTGACCTTAGACAACTTGAAATTGTGGGTGTCGAGTTGGGGTCTAGGGTCGGTGTTTAGGGTTGGGGTTTAGGGATTAAGATCCAGGGTTTGGGGTTGGTTAAGATTTAGGGTTTGGGGTTGGCAGTTTTCGGTAAACCCTAAACCCTAAACCCTAAACCGTCAGTCACAGGTCTCCGCAAGGCCTGCCCACAAGGATCTCACGACCTTCGCGCCTCAAGGATAACCACTGCCACTCATCTTTAGGGTTTAGGGTTTAGGGGTGGAGGGTTTGGGGTTTAGGGTGCTTACGCCGCTCCCGCAAACAAAGATGGAACAAGAGGGCCTGTGTTCTTGTTTGCTCCAGGGAAAGTATGCTCCTTATAACTACGGTAGGTTTGGGGGGCCTATAAAAACTATATTTGTATGGTTCTATAAAGACCATACAGGGATTAAGGGAAATACAAATGAAAAATGCTTTCAAACATACTCAAGATAAGACTACGAGGAATGACGTCTAAAACAACACGCAACCCGTTTACTGTCCTGTTCCTCTGCTGTTCAGGCACTGAACGAGAAACGGTCAGATGCTGTTGAGGAACTTAGAGTACGTTACCATGATAAGGAAACCCTATGTCTTACCATGTGTCATTTGTCTGTGTCATGGTAACTTAATCTAGGTTAGTTAGCCTAAACAATAAGCCCCTGAACCCCTAAACCCCTAAATCTCAAAACCCTTATCACCAAAGAAATCCTGAAAATGCTGGAAGCTTAGAGCACTGTCTCGGCTTTCACAACCCAGTGGAGGGTTTAGGGTTTGATTCCAGACCCATTATACAGCTTGGACCAGTTTAGGGTTTAGGGGTTGAGGGGTTTAGGATCTAGGGTTTAAGGCTTCCGCTAGATGGGGCTTTCCCCTTTACTGGGGGTGCCCAATAACAAGGACTATATTACTGGGGGGGGTCTGTATTGGGGTCCCAGTTCTGGGAAAGTGCTACGCGAACTATCCTGAACTATTCCCAAATCTAAACTCTAGCCCTCCAGGCCACAAAACCTTCCTCTCAGCAAGCTTTGTCAAGAACCGCCAGAAGACCAATGTCTGTCTGAAACCCTTCATGCGAGGCTAGTTTTAACAAGACCTTGCCTAACACGCCACTTCTGCATCAACTTTTCTAACTTGCGGGCGGCAGCCCGTCAGATGGATCAGCTACAAAAGCACATGGGGCTGCGTGGTAGCTCAGCGCCGGCACTCGCATTAGCCATAAAGAAAAACACGAAAAGAGAATGAAGAAGAGCAAGAAGAAGGAGAGGCTTGGGGTTATATTGGGATAATGGGTTATACAGGGATAATGGAAAATGAAATGGAAACTACCACAGTATTTTGGGGTTATAGGAGAGCAAAGAGGAGGGGTAGGGCAGACAGAGAGGAGGAGGAGGAGGTGAAGGATGAAGAAGACGAGGGTGACAAGGGTGTATGATATACTATAGTATACTATAGTACAATCTAATATTCTGTCATATACTATAGTATACTATGGTACAATGTAATATACTATCATATACTATAGTATACCATAATACAACCTAATACACTATCTATACTAGAATCTACTATAGTACAAACTAATATACTATAATATACTACAGCTGATGATGATGTTTTTGTTGGGAGGCTACCATCACGGCCCTAAACCCTAAACCCTAAACCCTAAACCCTAAACATGCCTGTCATCCTTTCTCAGTCTTGCTGGTTTGGCCTTCCGGTATCCCCATTCCGAGCCTTTAGCTTGGATCCCTGATGCCACAGGGTTTAGGGTTTAGGGTTTAAGGTTTAGGGTTTACGGTTTAAGGTTTAGGGTTTGAGGTTTAGGGTTTAGGGTTTAGGGTTTAGGCGGGCGGCTATGCAAACTTGCTGCTGGAGATCCCTAGACTTTAGGTTGAGGCCAGAGTCTAGGGGAAGGTTTTGCAGTGTTGCTGGTATGGCTTAGGTGCACCCCCTCACTCTGTAATAGTGGAATAAATAGGAATATAGTAGGACCCTAATGTAAGCCTTATTATCCCTTGAAGTCACTATTACAGGGTGGGGGTCCACCTAACTAGAATATTTTTCTGTAGGATCTAAACTGCTTTTGGGCTCTAAACCCTAACCTTAAACCCAAACCCTAAAACCTAAACTGCCTTGGCGCCAAGTAGCCTGCAGCATCAAATTATCATCTCTCGAGAGGAAAAAGTCGAGCCAGGAATACATGAGCTTCAGTCTAGACTCCGTATTGGGGGGTTATAGGAATACAGACTATAGCTCACATGCTGTGCTGACTGCGCTCTCCATTTACACTCCGGACAATAGAACAGGGTGATTCAGAACAATTTCAACTCCCAATTTATAGCCACTTTGGTACTATTTCCACTATAAGCCACCATTCAGGGTGAGGTCGGGTGGGGCATGTTCAAAGTTGTGGGTTCCCCGTTGAATCCGCAAAATACTCTGATACTCACTACCAGGACTCCCGCAAACAAAGGGACCAATACTTACCCAGCAGTTTAGGCACGAGCGTCTAGGGTTCAGGATGCAAAACGAGGCTGACTACAAGCATCGTCTACACGGGTCCAATTTATGGATGGAGCAAGTTGCGGTAGGGGACAACGGCTCGGAAACATAACGTAGTCTTCACTACGCTGAGAAATGCTGAGAAGCATACATCCTAACCCTAAACCCTAAATCCTTGTGAACCCAAAACCCGAAGCCTTCTGCTAGCTATGACCCTGCTGACGGCACGACTTTCCTTCCCCCCGGAATATTATCAGATCCCTCTTCTCGGCGCGGGCCCGATTGAGGCCTTTTAAAGCCTGAAGGGCTCTGATCGAAGACTTAGCAGGTGGCTAGAAGGCCACAAAAACAGACCAATAGGGATCTACCATCTAAGCGTTGGAGCCCAGCATGGAGCCCCAAGAATTCAACAATGCTCCAGCATGTGGTAGCTTCCATAATAGCGGGAACCCAATATAGACCCTAAAACACAATGATTAATCCTTATGATGGGGACGAGCGACAAGGGACTCCTAATTTCGGGAAACCCATGTGTGGTGGCGGAGGCAATCATAATCCGATGTCTCGGGTTTGTGAGGTCTGCCCTGAAAGACGTTACCCATAATGATGGGCTACTTGCCTAGCTGGGGTTTCCCAAAACTTGGGGTACCTGTTAGGAGCGTCTCCACAATAAGGATTGTATAGCATCTCGGGGTCTATGTGGGGATACCCCTGTTGATGAAAACTATCGATTACCCAAAAACATGCGCCACGTCAACCCAAGGTGATCGGAAATTAAGAGAAAGTAGAGATTGATTCAAGTATGGGAAAGTAGACAATACTTGGAGGGTCAGGGGGACTTAGAGAGTATGTCAAAAATGACGATGACTAGAGTGACTATACTGTAAACCCTAAATTTAGTCGTGGTATAAAGAGCAGAGAAGCCTTCGACTTTATGCCTTGCAACCCTCTTCCTACATAAAGTTGCACTGATGGCAGTACAGGGGTTTGGGGTTCAGGGTTTAGGGCTTTAGCGCTTGGCGAGATATACAGAATTCAAAAACAAACTTTTGCGAAGCCCTCAACCCTAAACCACAACCCTGTAGCCCTAATTTTCAACCCCTAGTCCCTCTTCCCGGAGGTCTGCGTTCCAGGGGCCTTTCAAACAAGCCACTCAGTGCGCCTTTCCTGTCAGGTGCGGCTTGATCTCACCTGAAAGCGCTTCAGATTCGAGGGCTTCACGTGGTCTAGGGTTTAGGGTTTAAGGTTTAGGGTTTAGGGTTTAAGGTTTAGGCTTTAGGGGTTAAGTTTTAAGGTTTAGGGTTTAAGGTTTACCGTTTAGGGTTTTGGGTTTGGTTTAAGGTTTAGGGTTTAGGGTTTAAGGTTTAGGGTTTAGGGTTTAGGGTTTAGGGTAAATAAGCTTGAACTTAGGTTGTGGGCTTGTAAGCTTCAGGACTTGCTGACGTTGCTGAATGAAAGTCGCCCTTATATAATCCTCAATAATCTCGCAAATTTAGTTTTCTTGTCCATTTCTGCATTCCCTATCCAAAAGCCAGCAAGAAGGCAATGAAGGAAACGAGCCGGAGCCAGAGCTCCTGTAATTCACCCAAAATCCTTATGGTATGCCTCTAGATTCTCTAAGCGTACCCCTATTTGGCTTGACGGTTTAGTGTTTGGTCGAACTGTCGAACCCCTTACTCCCCACAGAACGAAAGCTGACCCATACCTCTCTTGCTCCAAAGTAGAAAGAAACTTAGGGCACGGCTTGCCTATGTTCAAAGACACTCCAAGTTGCTAGGTGGGCACTGTTTAGGGTTTGGGGTTTAGGGTTTAGGGTTTGGGGTTTAGGGTCTAGGGTTTAAGGTTTGACGTTTAGGGTCTAGGCTTTAGGGTTTGGGGTTTCGGATTTGGGGTTTCGGGTTTGGGGTTTGGGGTTTAACTTAACCTTGCAGGTACCTACCCACCTGGATGCTTTGGGGCCTAGAAGAGGGTCGGACTTTTAATGAATTCCGATGTAACGCAATTCCGAGTATACTCACCAGACGCTACACTCAAACGTAAAGGCTCAAAAGGAAAGCCCAAAACCTTAAACACCAAACCCAACTCCAAACCAAAACCCTGAACCCACAACCTTTCAAAATCCAATCTCCAAACCAAAGCTTAAAGCTAGGAACCCCAAAATCCAAAACCTGTACCTAAACCCTAAACCCTGAATCCTAAATCCCAAACCCTCAGCCCTGAATCCTAAATCCTAAACCCTAAGCCCTGAATCCTAAACCTGAACCCTAAACCCTAAGCCCTAAACCCAAAACCCAAAACCTCAAACCAACGCAGCACGAGCCTTTTGGAGCCGTGCCAAGGGTACCATCGAGGCGTGTGGCCATACACCTTTCATGCTCACGCTAAAGGCCTACATGGGGGTTTCCCAAATTTAGGGTTTAGAGTTTGAGGCTTACGGTTTAGGGTTAAGGGTTTAGGGTTTAGGGCTTAGGGTTTAAGGTTTAGGGTTTGGGGCTTAGGGCTAAAGGGGGGTTATATGGGGTTTGGGTTTTAGGGTGGGGCTTACATGGGGTTTCCCACAATTAGGGGGTACCTTGAGAAAAGGAAATCGGTGTTCTATAAGGAGGATAGACGGTTTAGGGACTAGAGTGAAGGTTTCCCAAAATTAGGGGTACCTATGTTAGGGGTCCCTATAAGAAGGATTATAAATATTGGGGTCTATATTGGGGCCCCCTATTTACGGAAACTATGCATTTCATGCTTATGATAGGGGCCTATATGAGCTATAGTCTAAACTCCTTTTCGGGGGGTTATATAGGGGATTAAATAGGGTAGTATTATAGGGGATATTAAGAAGGATACTGGGAGTCTAGACTAATAGCTCACATAAGGTTTATAGGGATTCAGGGTTTCCAGGGGTGTTGTGTTCAGCGGGGTTAGGATTTCAGGTTTATTGGGATGTCTAGGGTGGTATAAAAATGTGACAGGGACATCAGGGCTGTTGGGTGTGGGGCTTAATGTTCACCTCACCCTGGTGTATCTCAAACAAAAAAATGTTTTGCGTTTTTGGTCTGTGGAGGAGGGAATCGCAATACTGAACCAGGTGGGTGGGGTAGGGACCAGGTAGCACAGGTCGTAGTTCTAATAACCCTAAACCCTAAACCCCTGAAACCACCCTAAACCCTCAACCCTAAACCCTCAACCCCCTAAACCCTAATACAAGTAGAAGGACATCTGTTCAGCTCGGGATATTCTTGGGAGGGGAGCTTTGTCATTGTCACCCCTTTATTTTTGCCGATCAAACTTTTTGTTTGTAGGCTTCCGGGCTCCAACTTGGATAAAAAGCCAAACGAGCTATAATCTAAACTCCTAGTATCCCCCCTAATAAGCCCTATAGTAGTCCCCTATAAAGCCCCGATATAACCCCCATCGAGGAGTTTAGACCATAACTCAAATAATCTTCCGGACCTGGCCCGGTGGCAATATCGTTATTGTCACCCCCTTCAGGAATGGTAGGTTAACCTGAATAATGCGAGGTTGTTAGGGTAGGGTTCTAATGGTGTATAAGGCCGCCTTTAAAGGGTTGACCGTTTGGGGTTTGGGGTTCGAGCGCTGAAGAATCAAATGGAAAAGAAATGCGGAATGAAATGGAAACTGGGATTATGTCGCAGTTCTAGGAATGGTCGTATAAGAGCCTACGCAGCGTTTATAGAGATATGCAGGGTCCCTTTAAAGGGGCAACGGGTATAGATAAGCCCTAGCATGCATCAAAAGAAGAAAATGGGAAATGAAGTAATGTAGGGACCTGTATAAGAAGAACAGAGTTTTTGGTTTTATAAAACTATACTGAGCCCCCAATGCTATAATCATTAAATTCCATGCGTTTTTCATGCTCGCTGGTTTCAGCAAAAGTGGTATTAGTATGTGTGCTGAAAATACTGCTCTAAACAACAAGAGGAAGGAGCAGCGGCAACAAGTAGCTACTAAATGCTACAAAGCTTTTAATATGCGGACTATGGAGAGATCGTCGCCGGCAGCTCTTGCTACTGCTACTCGGCTGCGACGACTACGACGCCGACGACGATGCCAGCGACGACGCCGTCGTCGTCGACGAAGGCGATGACAGTGAAAAGCGCCAGGCCGCACTTAACAACCAAGTACCCTTTTACTACTCCCACATACCAAGATCGTATTCATGCACTTTTCGAGGGAAGACCTGTGATTTTGAGAGACACCGCTCATCCATGTACATCCTAATGTACTCTTTCAGAACCCTTACAGATCCCCATGAGCTTTAGTAGAAACCCTTAAAATACTCCCCTCGATAACCCCCTATATAACGCTCTTTAAGGAGTTTAGACCCTAAACCCTAAATCCTAAACCCTAAATCCTAAACCCTCATCCCCTATATAACCCTCTTTAAGGAGTTTAGACTACAGATTCCCATACCCCCTTGAGGCCATGACTTTTCCACACTCTTCCTTGGCCAGGCCAGAAAAAAAGACCAGTTCAGTGTTTAGGGTTCAGGGTTTAGGGGTTAGGGTTCAGGGTGCCCGGGCTTGTGGATTAGAGCCCGGCTTTTGGGATTGGGGCCTAGGGTTCACGCTTCGGATATAGCAATCAAGGGTCTGGGATTTGAGGTTTAGCGATCAAAGCCTAAAGATGAAGGATTTCGGAAAGCTGGAAACATGACGCCAAAAAGCAGAAAGGAGTGAGGCCGCTTGGCTGTTGGTCATGGGGCTTCTGAACCTCAAGGTTCCTCGGGATTCTGGGGAACTAACGCTCTAAGGGTCGATATCATTGAAAGTGTGGTAGGGTTCGGTTCTAGCACAGGAGGAAGAGAACGTCTTCACCCACCACAATCTACGCCACTGAATCCTCATCGGCATACGGTAAAAAAAATCACTAAACACTATCCTGTGAAGCCTCAACAATGCACCTTAAACCGTAAGCCCCCAAACCCTAAACCTTCTGGTGGACCTACTGAACCCTAAAGCCTAAACCCTAAACTCCAAGGAGGTAATTACCGCATATAATCCAGAAGTTTCCATGTTATTTTCCCCTCTCCCCAATGAAGTCCCTATATAACCCTATAATATAATAGTTTCCATCTTATCTTCCATGTTCTTTTCCATTTGGCCCCTTTATATAACCCTATAATAGTTTCCATCTTATTTTCCATTCTCCCAAGAAGCCCCTAAACCCTAAACCCCTAAACCCTCAACACTAAACCCCTAACCCCTAAACCCTAAACCCCCTAAATCCTAAACCCCTGAAACCCCTAAACCCTAAACCCCAAACCCCCTAAACCCCCTAAACCCCCAAACCCCAAACCCTGAACCCCCTAAACCCTAAACCCCAAACGCCCTAAACCCCAAGCCCTGAACCTTAAACCCTAACATTATCTCAAGCCGGGTAAGCAGTTGAG